AAAATTTAAACATAAACTCAGCATGTTCAGTAAATTTCACTTGTATTATTGCTGTACTACCCCTGAGAAACCTGCCGGATTACACTGTCAATTAGGGGCTACAGCATGGTTTGAGCACATTTTGTAAATCCTGTCATCAAGTAAGATTTGTTCTTACCTTTGTACACAGTTCAGGAGCACAGTGCTGCAGGGAGATGTGGCCCTTCTGTTAATGCTGGAAAGATTTACCTGTAATCTGAGTGTCTTGAAGAAACATTGAACCAAAACAATTCAGGGTCAGCAGCAGCAGCGGTGGCGAGGGCAGGGAATTGGACTAGAGGCATGACAGAAGATATTATAGTGCTGTAAAAATAAAACATGTTATAATGGTGTAGAGCTATATATCAAGTCACTATAGGGACCTGTGAAATGGAAAGCCACCAGCAAAGAAAAGCTGTTGGGGATTCATCTCGGAAACACCAAGATGAATCCCCAATGCTGGATTGTACTCCATGCTCTCACTAGATGCTATACAATTTCTATTACCTTTACTACAGCATATTTTCAAAGCAATATTTGATATAGCATACAGTATATTATGAACAGTAGATCTAGAACTTATTGAATTCGAATCAGCCTTATTGGCCAGGTGTGTTGGACACGCGAAGAATTTGACTCTGGTACAGTGGCTCTCAGTGTGCATGTACAATGTTCTTCCGTATAGCAACAAGGATACAAGTATACAAGACTGAGAGAACAAAAACAAAAACTATGACAAACATAAGAATGCTATTTTAATCATTATTTGTGTGGTTGACAGTAGTGTCTGATTAGGTTACATAAAAGTGACAATAAAGATTTTTTTCAGGAAATTGAGGAGAGTACATTTATTTTTCTATGTTGTTTTGCATATTTGCTTCTTTTTGGGGATTCAGTTCCACTTTTATGTCTGTGTTTTAATAACTTGAAGATTACAGACATTATCTCAAATAAAAACCCACCTCTTTGTGGCTCCACCAGCCTCTAGGATTAATCAAAATGAATCAGTCATGCTTTTCTGGCCTTGTCTTTTTTTCAGTCTCAGATCCCTCAATCTATTTTATTTCTGTCATCACCATAACCATCATGTTTTGTGTCATCCTTTCCACATGTCCAATCTTTAAATCTAAAATATGATCCTTGGCTTGGATGTAAGATAAGCTTGGGGCCACTGTTATCTTCTCCCTGCCATCAGTAAAATGGATTTCCTGATACATCAGTAACCCCTTCGGTCATCTAAAACCCAGTTTTCCAGATTTCCCTGTCCTCTCCCTCTGTAGGGGTCTTAATGGAGAGATGGGATTCAAAGGTCTTGCTCAAAGCTGCTTTCTGCCACTCTCGCTCTCTCTCCCTTTGAGTTTGTTATGTAAATTGATCCAGTCTTGGGTTCCAGTATTAGACTGTGGATGTGTGCTGTACTGTGCCTGAGGTGGCTGTCTGTCTGAATTGCACATTACCCTACATCTCTGCTTTACTCCTCTCTACAGATGACTGAACTGTAGACTGCAGCCATATACGTAGATTGTCCACATGTGGGTTAATGTTTGCAATTCTCTTATGCATGGATACACAGACATACAGTACTTCCGAAGCAGAAACATTCACACACATTAACATAAAGAGCAGACATGTCCTCTTTAAACTTTGACAACATTCTCTAATAGAAAAATGTCCATGTACCATAAGTAAAAAAAAATCCCGAAATGTCAGTCTTCCATTCTTTGTAGCACCTGCTTAATCCGGAGACTCACAGCTCAATATGCTATATAATCCCTTTGGCTTTCTGCACCACTTCAGTCTCACACCACATCTGTCTTTTTTTAAACGACTGACCCAAATACTCCAGTGTTCAACAGACTCACTGCTGATACCCCTGGGATTCAAAAGTCATCCATTCTTTAGCACTACCCAGCCCCACACACATGTGCACAAACAAAACCTTATAGTGGAATAGTCTTTTTAGTTAGCTTTAGCTTAATGTAACATCTTACATTTGTTTAGAAATTATTTTACTCTCCAGGTTCTACTTAAAGTGCACTGACACCATCTCAGTGTGTCAAGAGAAGTGGGACTAGGCAGAAAATGGTATTAGTGGACTGTAATTACTTAACAGTGAATGTGAGTGTAGCCTAACACTTTCACTTACCGGTAAGATCTAGATGAGTTTCATGAGTGGTGAGCTCTGGCTTGGGAGATGTTTGTCCATAAGGCTCGAACTTGCAAAATAATACATACAACTGTTAATAATAGCATCACCATGACACTATTATTTTTCAATAGATTGATATCCAATGAAGAAATCTATTACAACCTGGTCTCACAGCAAAATGTATAATTGCTACGTTGGTCCACAGCTTAAAATGTAGTAGTGTCAGTAACGGCTGTAAAATTGTGACATGGAAACGTTTGTTGTACTCACTGGCTGTATATAAAAGAGGCTGTATTGCAGCCAAGTGTACTTATTTGTGGTCTTTTTGGTGTTTTATGGTAGTTGTCAAACAAGAAAATGGCGCATTCCTAACACCAACTGTGGTGACTGAAACAAAGAGACATGTAGTGTCTTTTTAAGGTGTAATATTTGGAAGTTTATAATGTTAAAACCTCTAGACGGTGGTAAAAACAAACATCTGACTTTCATGCAGAGAACCAGAGATTATGTACCATATCTGACATTATGATTAAAGTATTTTAACTGACCCCAGGGCCCTTTCCTAACCTTAACCATCTAGTTTGTGTGCTTAGGGTTAGGGTAACTACATGTAACCATGTAGTGTAGTTTCTGTGCCTAAACATAACCATACTTTCAGTTTCAGTGTACTTTTGGTTTTGATTGTTGATTGAGAAAAAACTTAGCAATGTCTCAATTTTTTAGGTGTTATTGTGAGAGTAGTACATTTTACACATTTTACATCGCAGACCAACTATTATACATTTTGCTATGAGCCTGGGTTGCAGTGTCTATTGATGAAAATAGATCTTGATGAACGAGTTGTCAGTAGGAGATAGTGATTTTACATATAGATTTCTGTAATAATTTTTACCCTCCTTTAAGGCTTCTCTGTTTAATCTTGATTACAGTAGTTATGCTTTAGGGCCCCTCATCCTGTCATAGTCTACACACATTGTTATAAGTAGAAGTATCTCATGGTTATGACCAATGGGCATGAAAGTGTTAGAGCAGGCTTGATAGTTAGACTCTGAAGTACAAATCAAAATGAACATTATAGTGAATTATTATGCTCACATCAACTCTGTGGGTAATAAATGTAATCCAACAATCATAATCAACATTTTCTCAACATTGGGATTGAGAAATGAAAGACAGCGATTTCTTCTTTTGTCTCTCCTCTATCCACTCACCCCAACCGGTCGAGGCAGAAGGCCGCCCACCAAGAGCCGGGGTCTGTCGGAGGTTTCTTCCGTTAAAGGGAGTTTTTTCCTCCCCGCTGTCACCAAGTGCTTGCTCAAGGGGGATTTGTTGGGTTTTCCCTCTGTAATAATAGTATAACAGTAAGGTCTAGACCTTACTTTGTAAAGTGTCCTGAGATGACTTTTGTTGTGATTTGGCGCTATACAAATAAAATTTGATTGATTGATTACTTTTTCATCAAATGATCTCTGACTAGCCACAGCTGAAGAACTGTTGGAATGTTTGGTGTTTATTTTTTCAAATACCAATTTATTACCATGGCTGAGGTTTGCTCTTCTGATATTTGATATTTTGGGAATAAATGCATGCAGATTAATGTTTGCAAATATATATTCAACATAGTCAACTCCCAGCAGAGTTGTCATTCATTTAGTTAATTATCGTGCTGTCTAATTTACACTCCTGGGAATCCTGTAATCTGCACAAGAGCCGACTGGCTGTGGCAGATCAGCTCGGATTTGTGAGGGAATCAATAGTACAGCCTGACTATGTTTGCTGCTGTGTGGGCCTTAAAGGTTTGACTAATGGCCCTGGTTATTGAAGAGTGCGATGGGCTCAAGTTGTCACTGAAGGGTGTTGCAATTTTCCAGTTTCCAAATCTTAGTAGTCAATACTCCACTTACCGGCATCTCTCACTTAATCATTCACAACTGCAAATCATGATGCCAGTCAAGTTTTGAGTGCACCTTATGTAGGCTCCTGCAGCACTGATTGTCCCTTCATCTGCATTTGACTGCAGCTTTTGTTTTTTCAGTACTATTTTATTTTATTTTTTATAGTTGAGGCAACTAAATTAAGAAGATGTGATGTGTGGAGAGGTTTTATGAAGGCCAACAGTGTCCAGTGCCACCTTGGCTACCTGATGAGAATTTAGCTCCTGAAGATGTTGAGTCTGAGCTAAAACACATTGTTCCTTCTTGATAATGAAACGTATTTTCATCGCTGTCTGGCTAATGCAGCCATCTGCCGGCAACTCCTAATGGAGTTATGGAGCCTCTCAAGGTCTTTTAAATAATTTAGAAGTGGAGAGGATTCTCAAGGCTTCATGACTTGATATGTATGCACAAGTCTTAATTCTAAATGTCGGATTTGATTTGCCAATTCCAGAGCTGCTTTTCCTCAGACTAAATGTTCACTCGGCTTTGAACATTCAGGACAGTACACCAAAGTTTAGTTTAATAACTTTCTGTAATCTTGGATCACTGTTGCTAATTCAACATAATGATCGTTATCTTTGAGTCTTTGTGGCTCTGACTGGATGACAGAATGTTGTGAGAGGCTGTGATGGGAATCCCCCCGATGATTATTAACTGAAATAAACAATCTTGTTTTGGACTGAAGCAGTTTCTCTAGGTTTTGTTTAGATATGATAAGTGTAGCATGTTCCTAGATTATAATGTTGTTTAGACATAAGAAAGTATAGTGTAAAGCCTTTAAATATTGCATGTCATAAAAATTTCACTGAAATCAATTTGTTTGTCTTGTCATCTGTGACCATCAACTAATTCATTTGAGCATCAGTGCTGACTGTAATTTTCTCTTTTTCTTTCAGGGGGAGGTCACAGGATACCAGCTCACTGCAGCAAACTGAGGATTAACCCAGACCTGGAAAAGAGAGACGGTGCTTATGTTCACCATAATGTCACCTGTAGGCATGGCCAAACTACGGGCTCAGCTCGTTCTGCTGTTTCTTTGCTTGACACTATGGGCCAGCATGCTTCAGTTTTCTGCAGCCACTATACAAGGGTACATTGGAGACAGAGACATGATATGTCCATCTGTATGCAGGTGTGATGAGGACTTTATCTACTGCAATGATCGTGGCCTGAACTCCATCCCTTCACTGCCTCCTTCTGCATCTGTCCTCTACCTTCAAAATAACCACATAAACAACCCCGGCTTGCCCACATCCTTGGAGCGCCATGTTGCTGTTCGTGTGGTCTACCTCTATGATAATGAACTAGATGAATTCCCCATGCACCTTCCACCGTTTGTGCGTGAACTACATTTGCAGGACAACAACATTCGCACTATTCCTCGGAGTGCGCTGGCTCGGATGCCCCTGCTAGAGAAGCTCCACTTGGATGACAATTCTATTTCGACTGTCAGCATTGAGGATCAGGCCTTTGCTGACAACCCACGGTTGCGCCTGCTTTTTCTTTCACGCAACCACCTGTCTAGTATCCCCTCAGGACTCCCTGCCTCTCTGGAAGAACTTCGTCTGGATGACAACCGAATCTCCACTATCCCAACCCATGCCTTCCGAGGCCTCGCCTCACTTAGATGTCTCGTCCTGGATGGGAACCTTTTAGCAAACCAGCGCATTGCTGATGACACATTCTCCCGCCTTTCCAACTTGACCGAGTTGTCCCTAGTCCGTAACTCCCTCCAGACCCCACCTGTCAACCTGCCTAGTGCCCACCTGCAGCGCCTGTCTCTACAGGACAATGCCCTGACACATATGCCACGTGGTTCCTTGGATGGCATGCACCGGCTGCAGAGGCTGGACCTATCAGGAAACAACCTGACTACACTGCCGCGGGGACTGTTCAGAGACCTGGACAGCCTTGGTCAGCTGCTGGTACGAGGGAATCCTTGGCATTGTGGCTGTAACCTGCGCTGGTTGTATGACTGGCTGCATGCCCGTGGTAATACCATCACTGTCAGAGGTCTCACCTGCCATGGACCCGACAGAGTGCGAGACATGGCCTTGACAGACCTGTCCAGTGAAATGGAGGAATGTGAGGTGGTGAGGGCAGCAGGGACCCGAGACCAAGTGGGTGGAGGTGGAATCATTAGCTCTACTACCCACACCCCTCCACAGGGCTCTCTTTTTACCCTCCGTTCAAAACGACCTGGCCTAGGGCTTCCTGACTCTGGATTAGATTACACTCTTAGCAGCAGCGGTGTGGGGAAGAGCCTTGCACTCAACGTGAAGCCTCTCTCTCACAACAGTGTTCGCATCACCTGGAGTGTGGCCCAACCCAGCTCCTCCTTCAGACTGAGCTGGCTTCGACTTGGCACTGCGAATGCCATGGGATCAATCACAGAGACGCTGGTCCGGGGTGACCGGCGAGAGTACCTCCTTACTTCATTACAACCTCGCTCCAGCTACATCATCTGCATGGTGCCCCTGTCTGCCAGTTCAGAAGGAAAAGGGTCCATTTCTGGAGATACTGACTCCGATGAAGCTCTGGTGTGTGCAAAAGCTGAAACATCAGACCTCAGCCCACTGGAGGAGGAGGAGGATGAAGACTCACAGCAGATGACAGCGCTACCCTTGGCAGGAATTATTGGTGGGGCTTCTGCTATTGTATCATTGGCTCTTATCTTTGGTATCTTCTGCTGGTATGGACATAGGACTGGGCACTTGTGTTCCCGTGATCACTATACTCGCAGCAGCTCCAGAAAAAGCAAAAACTATGATGATTACATTGAGTCAGGCACCAAGAAGGACAATACCATCTTGGAGATCCGTGGCCCAGGATTCCAGATGACACCTATGGCATCTTGCCAGCCAATGCAGCCTAAACCCCTTCGAGAGGATTACATCATTCATACCATATTCCCCTCCAATGGCACCGGCCTATACAAAGGTGCCAACCATGTTTCTAATGCAGGACATGGTACCAACCGTGGCTATAGAGAAGGAGGAATCCCAGATATAGATTACTGTTACACATGATGTACTGTACAAGATCCTGCTCACAGTGTTATTGGTAAACTGTATAGATGCACAATTTCCCTTCGCATGGACACTTCTGAAGCACCCCTCTGTGCCTTTTTCTACTGGTCACCCATTCCAAATTACCTGCTGTTCACTGCACTGAAAGTACTGTATGTGATTACCTGGAATTAAAACCATGTGGAATCCTTTCACTGCAGGAAGCAGCAGCCAGTGTCCTAGGTGTAAATGCATAGCTGACTGTTTCTCCACCATCTTAGTAATAGTCTGTGTATGTTTTCTTTTCTGCCCTTTTGCTGTGACATGTAAGCAAAGAATGTATCTGCTGTGGAAAGGTCAAACTTAGCATACAGTAGGTGCAGGTAGAGTTCTTCTGTCACAAACAGGAGCCACAGCAGTCAGTTTAAAATGGAGGAACAAATGATAAGAAACAGACATTTCCAGTACTCACTTCCTGCTCACTGGTTATACACAGTATGTAGTCTTATCAACTCATTGTTCCAAATGCCTCAACTATACTGTATTGATGTGCCCTACCAGCTATCCAAGGAAAGGGCTTTGTAAAGCTGTGAATTGTTTTATTTCAAACGATCCAATAACCACATGTCTTAAAGTAGGATTGCTATTACTTTATTCATTAGTTGGCAGGTTGAAGAACTTACTATATCAAGGCTCGGTCAGCCTTGGTTATACCTCTTGAAATCATTCACCTGAGATCAATATTGTAGTGCTGTATCAGATGAGATGCAGCACAAGTGTGTAGATAATTTACTCAGATACCGACTGGGCTGTGTTTAAAAAATGCTTTACTATTTTTATCAGTGGCTTGTTTAGTAATCAAATTCACAGCTCTCTTTATTTATTTATTTTGTTCCTTATGTGGTGGTTTTTGTCTCTGCTAAAATGGCTTTTCTGTTTTATCCCTCATGTTTATCATTACTGATGAAATTCAGCTTTGAAGAAAACAGAGGATTTGGTTCATCTAAAGAACAAAATATGAGAAGTGAAGAAAACATTCTGTCTCCAGGTTCAGGCTTTCTTAAATTAAGTAGATTGAATTCCTGAGTGGGACTCTTTATAATATGTAATTTACAAATTAGACCTCACCCAAAGACTAGCATGTCAGTCCACTGAGATGGTAGAGACCAGCCTACATCCCCCTTTTCCATTTTGTGTCTGTGTTTTTAACCTGTGACTTAAGTTGGTGACCCTTGGTTATAAAATGTTTCATCCACATTCTTAAAGCAGTGATGGCGTTCACAGAGAATCCAGACCGGACAAAATCATAATGTGGAGCCTCCTGTGTGAGGCAGACTTTTGTCAGTGAACCTCAAAGTGAGGGTGAGAAGTGCAACTAAGGAGACTCAAACCGCAACACTGTTGACCTGCACTGTGGGGCAGCGGCCCACATGAAGTGACTCCTCAGTGAGGGACATTTATGGTTGTTTGTTTTAGCAATGGTAAAAGGCCTCCACTCATGCCACATTATTTATTACTGAGCAGCACTAAAAATGTAAATGTATTAGCACTTAGCAGAGAACAGGGATACATGTAATGACAAGCATGGGGAGACAAAGGGTAAGGAAACATCTCCAGGCATTAAGAAGGAATACAGAATTGATGACTGTGGCATGATGGAGTTCACCCATGCATAGATCTGTTTTTCATATTCAGCTTCTCTCCCTTGGGTTTATTATTGTCTGTCAGTTGTTTACCATTGTGTTCCTTCCAAAGGGGAAACCAGTTGTGCTTCCTTGATTGTTTTGTCTGCCAGAGTTTTGCACTGGTGTCAGTGGAATGTATATTTTATGTTGCACCTGAAATCACTGGCTTAAACAAATAACATCTTACTGGCCTGGATAATTCTGTTTTGGAAAATGTTAGTATCATGTATTTACAGTGGGTCTATTCAAGTTACATATGTAAAACTATGGCCACAGCTATATGAATATTTTTTGGTCAAAATGATAGAAAGTAATGGTGTCATAAGTTTGCGTAAAAAAAAGTTGTGTGAACCTGAGCTGTGTGGAATTTGCTTTATAAATTCATCTTCAGAGGGGATAAATAAAAAGTTTTATAATCTTGTCATTCCACCTCTTGCTTTAGGAGACAGACTTAATTTTCCAATCCAGTATAATTTCTGAACTGAAAATAGAAGTATTGGTAGGGGCAAATTCCATCCCAAAAAGCCAGTGTGCAAAAATTAAACCTACATATTGTTTTTATTTGATGAGCAGTGCTAGATAAATAGCCAATTATAGCCTGAGGCCGGACACTTGAAACCTGCTGAGTTTTTGTGGTGGACCTGAGAAGAGTCAACAGGCTGCTGTCATCAGTGACTTTATGTGTACATCCAGCCTGGGGCATGAAAGAGCCGAACTCCAAATGAACAAAATATCATTACACCACTGCAGATGAAATAGAGTAATCAGCTTCTACTGGGCTAAAATTCCAGTTCACTTGAAACGTTTTGCCTTGCACAGCTGAAAACTCTTCAGTTACCTCTGAATTTCATCTCTCTGTGACATAGGTACTTCCTAATTTAGCAAAGGAAAACAAAGTTGTTTCATTTTTATTTTTCATACAAATTATTTACAGCAGTTATTGGCTCAAATATATGACAATATTCTAACCTGGAAATTAGGTTTGAAAAAACATCTTATAGTCAAGGATGAGACACTTACATGTGATATTCTTGAATGGACAGAGTATCAGTTTAACACGGTCTTTTCCAGAGTGTCATTAGCTGTCGTTGGCCTGTTGCTGATCTAGTTATTGGTTTCAAGATTCAGAGTTAGGCTGCTCTAAAAGTGTTTAGTTAGCCCCCTTTAACCTACAGGAATTTTTGGGGGTTGTAAAAGTGGAGTTCGTCTTATAACCAGGGTCATCCTATATTCAGGCCAATACCATAATTAAAGAGAAAAAATAATGTTCACTTTGAAGAGCAACTTAAAGTAGATCAGAGAAGTGTGCTCTGTTGCACCTGTAACCCCACCCAGTGTGATGTGACAGTGTGCTGGCACAACCTCAAGTAAACTTCTACATTACTGCAGCAAGCTGAGAAGCTAAAACACTGATCGACAAAAACTGGACATTTCTGGGGTGTTGAATTACTCTTCAAGCAAATTAGTATGCAAACACTCACATCTCTCTGTGGCAGGGCAAATTTCAATCAGCATTTCAACAGATGCACCCCCTTTTGTGTAGTGAAATTAATGCTATCACAGTTTATTCTTTGCTGCTGTACCTGACAAAAAGCCAAACAATTGTCAGTTACATCATTGTAAGATGTACACACAGTAACAACTCCTTTGCTTATAAACAGTGAATACTGACTGAGAAGACATGGAGGATCCATCGGCAGCCTTTCTGTACCCTCAGTCATGTTGTGTTTGGCTGTGTCAGTTGTAAACTGTCAGCCTCCCTTTTTCACTTTACTGTTGTTTTGTTTGCATTGGTTTCATTTTCTTTCTGTGATGAAACTTGAATTTCTTGCCATCAGACATTTGATTGCCATAAACCTGCAATGTGCAGACATTTTTACTGTCTAGGCCCATGGGAGTGTGGCAGGTTTGTGAGAGATTTAATCAGTATCATCTCAGACCAACAGTGTACTGTAACTGCTGTTGCAAAGCAATTGTGAACAGTTTGTAATGGCAGCTGAACTCCCTATGCAGAGCAACAGAAGCTGATTGGATTAGACCCTCCTCAACAAGCCGGAGCTGCAAATAAACCCAACACAAATCTACAAAGGGATAATTGAAATGTAAAAAGTTTATACATACTGCTTGTGTCAGAATGAAAAGTCAAGAGGGGGCCAAAACATGAAAGCATCTTGTCATGTCTTTACTTTCCAGCACATCTACTGACTGCCAGGGTATCATGGTTAATGTTCTGTCAATCAATGACCAATTTGGTCTGGTTTTAAAAGGGAACTCCGGTGATTTTAAACATAAAAGCCAGATCTTTGTAGTCTGCTCGTCATTGCTGCTTGAGGCTGGTGGCCCAAGGCAGCATTAGCTACTATTTGCATAACACCCAAACCTCATGTCATTACTCTACCTGACTGGTTCTACAAAAGTGCAGAGAAGCAATTTATGGAACTGTCATATCACCTCACCCAATCATCTTGCCCTAACCATAACCACTCAGGAATTAGCTGCATTTCACAAGTGCATAGAACAAATTGGGTTTCCAGTACCGATCAGGTAGCAACACCTCTCACTAAATTGCTGGGTGCAGTTGTCGAATTGCATTGTGGGTAATGTCTGCACCAAGTTTTGACAAGGAAGATGAATGCATGTATTGATATCTCTGGTGATGGGGTGGCAGAGTGATGCAGTGGTAGCACTGTCACCTCACAGTAAGAAGGGTTCGAACCTTGTGGGCGACCAGGGCCATTGCATGTTCTCCCTCTGCCTATCTGGGTTTTCTTCTGGTACTCCAGATTCCTACCACAGTCTAAAGACATACAGGTTGGATTAACTGGTGACACTAAATTGCCTGTGGGTGTGAATGTGAGTGGTTGCCTGTTTCTGTGTGTCAGCTCTGTGATAGATTGGTGACCTGTACAGGATGTACCCTGCTTACTATCAACTCGGATTGGACCCAGCCCACCTTTTGCACTCTACACGATGAGCTGTATGTTACGATGAGCTGTGTGTTTAGAGTGGTTTTGGACCCAGTAACGATGCAGAACTCGAACCCAGGCTAGACAAGGAAAACGTCTTTAATGCGTCGCAAAAACAAACAAAACAACAGAGCTGGTCTCTTCCGCTGATCTTGGGGCAGCTGGGCACACTGGGTTGACTGGACTACTGTTTCCCGGGGTTGTATGAGAGGCGTAGCTCGCTAAATAAGAACAGAGAGTGAGAGTTTAAGAACACGCACCAGGTATATATGGTATAGACTATTTCTGGTAGTCACTCTGGGGACCTGAATAGCTGAGCGTGCCACAGGCCCAGGGAGTAGTCCAGGGAGGGGGAGGCTGGTGCCAGAGATCCCAGGTCTGGTGTGTGGGTTCCCTGATGAGGCAGCGCTGGTAGCTGGATGGTGCGAGGTGGGTTGGCGGTGCTGTCCCAGGATCGCTGAGAGGAACACCGAGAGGGCTGGTCTCGTGCTTGGGAGCTCTGCGAGAAGGAGCAATTCACACAACAAAAACGACCAAAGCCGACCCAGAATGGGAAACAGCAGTTCAGAAAACGTAAAGTCCCCAGAAAAACAGTCCAAACCAAAGAAACCCTTTAAAACATGAGAAGGGCACAAAAACTGATTAAACACTACTGTGTAAATACAGTTCACAGCTAGACGTGAGGAGCACAGATCAAGGAGTAGTCCATAACCCTGAGTTCTTGACATGAGCATGGAATGTCTTTACTAGCAGGACAACATAGGATAATCTGGCGAAGAGGACGCACCAACGCTGACCCTATATACTGCTCCGATAATTGAGAGCAGGTGTGCCTCGCCGCCTGGAACGCACCCTCACGTGTGCAGGGGCGGAGCTGCTGGAACTACCTGTGCCTGCTACCGAGGTACTGGGGGCGGCCCAGGTCATGGACGTAACACTGTATAAATAATCAATGAATGGGTAATCTTTGGTGCTGTAACACTTTTTTTTTTTTTACTTCACTTTCAATTTCAGTTCAAATGCATTTGTATAGTGCCATATCCCAACAAAAATCATCTCAGGGCACTTTACATAATAAGGCCTGGACCTTACTATGTAAAGTGCATAACATTATGAGTCCAACAATGTTATGTGAAATCATTTAAGTCATAAAAATCTGAATGAGAATAATCATAATCAATCATTCTCACAAAACACAATTAATTGTGGGCACTTGTAAGTTAAACATTTTGAAAATCGCTTGTTAAGAGTAAAACATCTATTGGAAATAACTGATTAGTCAACAATCAGTGTGGAGGGGTGGAGTATGTAAACTGGGATTGCATCAAGATGGATGTTGTGAAAGATGATTCTTTGACTGTTAGAGTCTTTGTCTGGAGGAAAATCCATTCTGGCCTTATGGTCAATGAACAAGGCTTCACTGCCAACAACACAAACTGTCTCTGCTGGTCTTGGACAGCACATTCCACCTCTCTTCACAGATATAAAAAAAGTATCCTATGGCCAGCTGGATAGCAACTCAAATAACTGTGACCTGAAGGTTGAGCAGTAACCTATTTTTTCCTCACTCCAGTATGATTTAAAACTATCCCTTGTAAATCTCATTGTGTAGTGTGAAAAAAGGTGAGGGGAATGAAATATGACAAATACAATATTGGAAATGAGGCCAAGGGAAAGGCTATGACTCTCACAACAGATGGGCTTCCTTGTTTCAAACACAGATGGTTTAATAATGTTTTCCCAAGACTCAACAGTTAAAGGTTGATAAGCTGGAAATCTGCAAGGATTTTGGAAGGAATTCCTTATTAGGGCCCTTAAGTTTCTGAGGGGACGACTGCATTGGGTGTACTCATAACAGAGTAGAACTGCCTTCTTTCAACTGCCCAATATTGCGAAAATCAGGAGCATCCTGTCTCAAAGTGATGCTGAAAAACTGGTCCATGCATTTGTTACTTCCAGGCTGGACTACTGTAACTCTTTACTATCAGGATGTCCAGGTGACCAAGACAGTGAAGAAGATATGCATAAGCATAAACTTTATTGCCAAGTATTTCAAGAATACAAGGAATTTGACTCCAGCTCAATGGCCCCCAATGTGCACAACATAAGAACAAAAAAAATGCACAATATATACAAGTTAAAAGAGCAACATAGACTAGCTGTTAATCAGTGTAATAGTCCGGGGAAAGAAATTGTCTCTGTCTGTTTGTCTTGGTGCACAGTGACCTGTAGTGCTGTCCAGAGGGGAGGACACTTTGTATCCAAAGTCAGAGGGGTCTGCAGAAATCCTCTCTGCCCTCTTTTTGACCTGTAAGGTGTATAGGTCCTCCATGGAGGGCAGGCTGGCACTGATGATTTTCTCTGCAATTCTGAATGTCCGCTGGAGTCTGCTCCTGTCCTGTTTGGTTGCTGAGCCAAACCAGA